TTCTCCGCCTTCCCTCGGGCCCGGCCTCCCCCTCCTCCTCCCGCTGCCGGCCCGCGCCGCCTAAAGGGAACCCCCCGCTCCGCCCGGCCGCGGCGCTCCGCTCCCTCCGCCCCCCCCGCCATCGATCACCGGCCCCATCGGAAATTGATCCTCTTTGTTCAATTCATCGATCAGCCCAAGATGGCGCCGGAGCCGCCGCTGCCGGGGCCGCCGCCGCTTCGCCCGCTCCGTCCCGGGCTGCTCTCCCCCGCTCCGCGCTCCCCCCCGCCGGCGGCGCCGTGCGGGGCTCCGGGCGCGCCGGGACTCCCGGCGGCCGCCGCTCATCCCCCCGCCCGCCTCCTCCCCTGCGTCCCTCCCTCCCCGCCGCCTTGCCCCGCTTCCCGCCGCCGCGTCCCCCCGCCGCTTTTCCCTCGCCGGGAAGCCGGGGGAAAGTTTACCGAGTGCTGGGACTTTGTGTGTGTGGGGGCGCCGGGCGGGCTGGCGGTGCCGGCGCGGAGCGGCGGGGGCTGGGGGCGCTGTGGTGCCGGCCGGGCGGGCGGGCGCTCCCCGCGGGGTCCGGCCCTCGCTCCGCTCCGCTCCGCCGGGCGCGGGGGGCTCCGGCCGCCGCCCTGCGACCGCCGCGGGCACCGCGCCGGGGACCCCGCTGGGGAGGAGGGAGCGGCGGGGTGGGAAGGGGCGAGCGCCGGGGAGCGGGGCCGGGGTGGGGGGGGGACTTGCGGGAGGGCAGCGGCGGCAGCGCCGGGTGCGGGGAGGGGCGTCCCGGCCGGCGGGGCATCGCAGCGCATCTCCCCGCGGCGGCGGGAGGGTACGTTACATAATTCACGGGCTCTCCAGCCTCTCCTGCTGTCCAGGAGCTGACGGATGAGCGGAATATTGATGCTTTCTGCTGGTGCTGCCTCGGAACAGCCCAGAAGTGCCGTTTTCCTCCGGGGGAAAGTCCTGGCGGAGCGGCCTCCCCCCCCTGCCCCGGGGGTGCGTGCCCTGGGGCGATGGGGAACTCACGGTTTCACAGAGTTGCCGGGGTGCAGATAAGGCCGGGGCGGGTTATGGGGGGTGGTGTGTGTAGGGGAGGGGGGGGGGGCAGGTTGTCAAACGCTGAATTGGTGCTGCTCCCGCCGTGAATGGGATTGCAACACGCGTGTCTCCCAGTTGATTGGCGCAGGAAGGCGCTGCCCTGCCTCTCCAAACCCGCCGCTGCCTCCCGTTTAAATAAATTGGCTCGAAAGCCGGCGGCTGCCCACCGTGGCCCCCGTGGAGGCGGTGGCGGAGCCGGCCGGAGCCTGCGGCGGGCGCGGGGATGGTGCGCTGATGCTGGGCAGAGCCGCATCCCCGCTGCAGGTGAGGGGATGCCCGCGGGGGGCTGCGAGCGGGGCGAGGGTCCTGCCGCCCTCCCCTTCCCCCCCGCCGGGCTTGCGGGAGCGGTGCTAAAAATCCCACCCCGGCAGCCCCCAAAACGGGAAGTGCTGCGTGGGATCTGTGCGAGGAGGCTGGTCCCTTCCGACTTTCAGGTGCATTAGGAGGTGGGGTAAAGTAGCGTTTTGGTTTAGGCTTCTCAGTCGTCTTCTACCCCCCCTTTCCGTGTTTTATTGTTTCTTTTAAAGGTTTGGGATTAAGGTAGACTTGGCTGAACTTTGCTAACTTGAAAGGGTTCTTAATAGTGACCCAGAATACCTACAGGAATACAGAAAATGAGATCCAGATGTAGAATTGTATAAAATAAAATGGATTAAATTAAGATGTAGTTAAACAAGGTCTGACATCTCTAATTGTGGACTTTTGCTTTTGCCTCTGTGTATGTGTGGTTGTACTTGCTTGGCATAGGAAAATAAATGCTCCGAACATCACTGCCATGGTGTTGCATTTAAGGGTGAACAAGTCTAAATATTGCATATAAAAATAAAGCCTTCAGAAATGCTTATTGATTAAAACATATTATGCTAAAATATCTATCATGTAAATTAAATTCTAAAATGTAATGAACGCAGCCAAATGGCATTTTGATAGATTGTTCTCTTCTGTTTTTGGTAAAAAATAGCTCACTTTTATCATAATTTAATTTCTGTGCATACTGTAAAACCTGTTGTGGAGTATCACCGTACAAACCTTAATCTCGTTTTTGCAGACTAAATGTGACAGTCTGACTTGAACAGCTTGTAGCTTCTCCTTTGAAGCGTTCTGGTAACGCCAGCTTAGAGTTGTTTGAACAATATTCATTACCTGCTTTTGAGGACTGGTGATTATTTATACCCGTTGCGGATTGAGGCTGTTCACCTGTTGGCAGGTTCACCAGGCAATCTGTGCAGCACAGAGTTTATTAACTTTGCACACAGTCTGTCTGCAGAGTGCTGGACTGACCAGGGAGGTGGAGAAGCACATTCATCCATATGCAGAATAGTTAATTTGTTTCGAATTAGCTTTTTGGTTTTGTTGGTGGTTTTTTTTATTTTTTTTTCCTTACCCACCCATCTGCATGAAGAGGTAGTGTAATATTTACTCCCACTTGCAGATGAAGCAATATGCTATAAAAACTATCGTTACTGGGTATGAAGTTCAGTCCCACAGAACTGTCCATGCCTCCCTCCCTCCCTGTCCTTCACTTGTCCCAGCTGATTTTGAGCGTGCAATTACAGAAAATAAAAATACTTACGTCTGTTGTTTCTGCTACTCTATCCCGGGACAAAAGCCTGAAGGATTTATGCTTAACACGGTTCCACCTGAGCCCTGTAAGCTGCAGCTCATGGAGCTCAGGGTCTCATGGCTTTGAAACTCTCGTTTTCGTGCATGAGAAAGTTGTGAGGAGCTGGGACTGGGCAGTCCCGGAGCGCTGGCACCCGGCAGCTCCCAACTTCCTCTTCCACTTTCTGTTAAAAGGAGACGTTTAACTGTTGATGAGCTTCGACCTGCCTTGTAATATTAAGCAGCAGGTTTCTCAAGATTGTATCAATATTAATTAAAAACAGAGCCAGGAACACTTTAGGGTCTGACTTTTTAAATTATTTATTTCCTTTCTCTGAATAACCTCTTGTTTATAGGGAGAGATATTTCAAGTGTTGGAGACAGGATTAAATAATTCAGAACTTGGACTAAAGAACAAAAAGGGCTGTTCACAAATGGAATATGAGATGCAAAAATGGCAGCTTCCTACAGGTATCAAACGGGGCTCTTCACTTGAGACCGTACCTGCAAGGCACAGAGCTGAACATTAACCCCTTTCTCTAGCAAAGGTTGCCTCTGTTTCCTACAGAAGTTGTGGGATTGGCACGGCATTTCTGCCTCAGTTTGCCACGTGGGTGAGGATGGCTCCACGTCTGATAGCTGATGGGGAGGGAATTGCAGCGCACGGAGAAAACAGATCCTCACAAACAGGGAATATTGTGGCAATAAATGCAAATGAAATCACTGGAGAAATGCTGCTGCCCTCGAGTTAAAGCTGCATCTCCCGTTTGGAAGCAGTTGTGCGATTGGGATCAGTTCAGCAGCGGGAAGGTAACCTGCTGTCCTGTGGTCCTGGCTTGTTTGTAGTTTTTGGTGTCACCATCACCTTCACCGGAAAAACAACGTTTTGCCGGGGAACAGGAAAAGCAGCATCGTGTTCCTGTGGGCACAGCATGCAGCTCTCCTTGACAGCTTCCTTAATATTTCTGGATATGTGTGGATAGATCAGTGGTGGAGGAGGCAGTTGGTCTCTGAGACCAGCAGCAGCATTGCATGAGTAAGTCCAGCTCGAGTCTCAGATCTGAGCAGGATCTGCAGGATGACTGGGAGAAGTTAATACCCTTTGAAAACTTACCAAACTATCTGTAGTTATTTTGACAATAAACACAAGTCTCAAAATGTCATTGTAGCTTTTTAGGACAGGCACACACACCGCTAAAAAGTACAGTTTCTTATTGCTTTTGACCAGAACGGCAGAACTTGTTACCGTCAAGCTGGGGAGTGAAAATCTAAAGGCAAATCTTGCTCGTGTTGTTTGTTTTTTAAAATCTTATCCTGGTATTGCATCATATTTGATTAAAGTGAGGATTGAGTATTAGTTCTGTGGCAGGCTGTGACTAATTGTTCAGGGTAAACCATTGATCTTATAAAATCTGTAACAAAATCTCGAGAAAGTAGGTAGTAATGAGTAGCTTTTAAATCCTGAAGTGCTTCTCTTACTGAATTAGAAACAGGTGGAGTTGTTGGCATCTTTTAGTTGGGTCTGATGGTACCTGAGCACAAGCTGATTTGCATTAAGTGAAGGAGCTCACAGGCTTCAGCAGAAGTGGAATTAGTGATCAGGTCTTAGTGTTAAATTTTGTTTATCTGTGCAGGTCACTGTAGAACTTGTTTCTGTCCTAAAAGTAGCGAGTGCTTTTCTGTTTATAATGGTAGTTAAATGTGCATCCAGAGAAGACTTTCCAGCTACTGTGAACACGTTTCTGCTCCCCCCAGCTGATCAGAGATGTGTAGGGGAAGCAGCTTGGTGGTTCTGCAGGGAGATGAAATACAGGGATGTAGACGCCAGGGCACTGCTGCCAATACACTCCCATAGCAATCCCTGCTTCCCTGCAGCAGGAAAGCTTTGGCATTTTGTGGTGGTCAGGGTGATGCCCCTAGTGACATACTAGAAGAAAGGCCCTTGATGTACTTCTGGCTCAAGAATTTGGCTTTCATAGCGTTCCTTAAATCCTGTTCCTTGAGTCCTGTTCCTTGGAAGGAAATTTCTGACGGCTTTTCTATCCCTTGTTCCTATTCCTCCAGTGAAATAATGCCCATCTGAGACGTGGCAGAATCAGTGCACGTTTCAATCACTCTGCTCTGGTGCCAAGTTTGTGGTTAATTGGGTGATGTATTGAGAAATGCAGGAGGGAGGATTTGGAACATGGTAATGGTTGGGAGTTTTTTTTTGGGGAAAAAAAAAATTGCACCGCTTGGCTGTGTGTAACAATACCAAATAAGTAATGGGTGAAACATTTGCTAGAGGAGAAATGACATGCAGTCTGAAATTGCAGTGAGCAGTTATTCTGTATTTGCAAGCTGATTTGTGATGCAAAAAAGTAGATGTAGAAAAATGCACAGTCCAAAGTTTTGGTTCGATCGTGCTGAGGCCAAGAATAAAGACAGTTTATTTTTCGGGTAGAGAACAGATACGTGGATGCTTAGTGTTTCTTAAAACAACAAGCAGGTGCTTATTGGCTTGTGGTCCTTTTTATGTAAGCAGGGTACAAAGTTCCCATCTTGTATCTCCAGGTTTTTCTTGCACGTGTTCTTTGTGCTTGGTTGTTTCCAATATATTTGCGGGCAAGGCCTTGCAAATAACGATGTTCTGTGGATTGAGAATGCAGTGACAGTGTTCCAGCTTTGCATAAAGGAGTGGGGAGGAAGATGTGAAGCTGAGAAGGGGAAAGCTGCAGGGGGATAGTTTGCAGAAGACAGGGAGTTTTAGGATGAAGAAACTTGTGCAGGAGTGGGATTGTAGGTGTGGGGTTGAATGTAGCGGGAGAGATGGGAGAAACTTAGACCTCACAGTCAACAATAAAATCTTTAAGTTAGTAAATATAAGATAAATCTTACTCATTTTGTGACACATATATTTTCAGCTTTTGTTGTTGTTGTTGTTGTTTTCTCTGGTTTCATGAGGCAAATCATTAATTTCTGCTTTTACTGGTAGTAATAGGGAAGAAAATATGGGATTATTGCATTGGTTGGGTTGTGAAGAGAGTGGAAATGCAGACAGATTGGTGATTGTTAACAGCATTAAGTTTTATAGAAGATTAAGCACAGTTGGGTGTAGGTTGTTGGGTGTGACAGTGGGTCTTCCCTGCTCTCCAACAGTACTGGGATTTCTGGAGAGCAGGAGGCAGTAGAGAATTTGTGTTAAATCCAGACTGGTCATGCTTCTGTTTTGACTCTGGTAAGACGCAGCAGTTCTTACTTGATCGCTTCTGTGACTTAGCAGAGTTCAGCATTTAGACTGAATCAATGCAGTTTTCGGTGTGAAGGTGGCGAAGCCGGGAGATCCTGATGGCTCCCTGTGGGTGTGTTCCAGCTGGACTGAAGCTGGAGCCTGTCACACTGAAGCTGTCTGGGAGCTTTTACCTCCTTACCTTGCAAGAATTCAATGCCTTCATCGGCAGTTGGGGTAATAAGGAAGTTTTTTGTGGGGGCTGGAGTTGTGCTGCCTTTCCTGGGGTGCAGGGAGGGGAGTGGTGCTTGTCCTCCTCCCAGCTGGATTCATGGACTGCTCTGGGAAGGCAGAGGTAAAGATTACCAGGTCTTTGAAAGACTGAAAAGCAGATGCACAGAGGTATTTTAAGCTGCTGTATTTAGATGCTTTAAATTCCCCCACATCTTTGTGTTTCTGGCTGTGAGGTTCTGAAGGCAGGGCAGGTTGTAGGCCATGGCTCTCTCGGAGGCTTTTCCGAGTAGTTCTTCCATCAGAGCTGAGCAGATCTGTGGATGTGTGGAAATGTACCTCAGTGAATAAGGAAGCTTGGGCATAGATAGCAACATCTGTTTTTTTGTGAATGATACGAAAATTTGTGAAATTTGCAAATTCTAAATTTCAGCTAAATTGATAAATGACCAGATAAATTCCTCATTGGAGCTAGACCATTCCTGTTCCTGAATCCAGTGCTCTTGTGTTTGGCTGATGGCCTGGTGAGCCCGGGCGTGCATTGCACACGAGTCTGCAGGGGAGACCAAACTGTGGTGTAATTCCTGCAAACATTTGATTGCATCCCTTGAGCTCTGGAGATGGGATGCTCCTGTGCTGCTGTGTTACCCTGTCGCTGTGGGATTGCTTTCTTGGGGGAGGGTGTGTGCAGGGGGCCTGGGTCGGTTCTGGGGCTTGCCCTTGCTGAGGAATGTTGGCTTCTTGTCTGTGGCTCACGTGTGACAAGCTGAGGGCAGTAACGTTGGAGGGAAGCAAAAATAAATCCAAGTGGAGTGGGGGAAGTGACACTGTTTAAAGGACTGGATGAGACAGAGGGAAGTGGTGAAGAAAGGAAGGAGTTAAGGGGTGAGCTTAAACCCAGGACTTGGAAATTAAACTCATCTTGCAGAGCAGTTGGGAGAAGAGGAGAACCTACTTTAGCATTTATATAAATATGGGGCAGTGCAGCTGGGCAGGATGGACCTTTTAATGAAGACTCAGACTAGATGTATCTTAGGTGCCAAAAGGTTGTATGTTTTGTGTGGAAAAGCCTTGGCTTATTCCTGTAGAAACAAAACTACAAAGCCAGAAAGGGGAGTGCTGCAGATGATGAAATACAGGGGAAGTTTGATGGGTTAAGTCTCATTCCTTCTGCTCTCTTTGGTACTTTTGCTAGGTATTTGAGGTTTCATGGTGTTGCTGGTCTAATATTTAAAGAAAAACACAAGATTTCTCTTACCCAGAGGTCAGCTGAAGCTGGGATGCATCAGCCCACCCAAAATCTCTGCGCTGGGAACGTTCCCTTTGGGCAGTGATGCTCAGTGGGATTGGTACTGACACCCAGAGCCTTTAGTTGGTTTGGGTTTGCTGTGAGCACAGTCAGGAGGAAGCAGTGGCTCTGAAATGAGCTGGGAGTCACAGTCTCACTGTCAGCAGGTGGTGCATCCCCACTCCCGGTGTTGCCATGGGCTGCTCCGGCCCCTGAGCATGTCCAGGGCCTCCGCTGGTTTGTTCTCCATCTGGGAAACACTGATAATGCTCCCAAACCCTCTTTGAGATGCCATATTGAGAGTTAGCAGTTACTGTTCTTTTGCTACTACTCAGTTCTGCTCTGTGGATAAGTAAGACTCAGTGGTTACATTCTCTGCACTTTTTTTAGCAGTATTTTAAATGGACTGAACAGGGGATGTGCTGCTGTTGATTTGTAGGTACTTTTCAGGCTGTTGCTGGAAATAATATCTATAGAAGAGAATGTGAAAAAAGAACTGAGTAGTTGAGTGTCCTAGAAGAATATTATGGATGATTGATAGCAAATCACTGGAAGAAAATGTTTCTTGCAGATGGTTATGAAGTTATAATCTAGAGTTACTCATACACAGACACACTCTTACTTTAAAACCTCCTTGTTGTCTGGTGTACCGTTTGAGGGCAAGATAGGCAATTTATCAAGTTTCCCTTCGGATTTCTCTGTACATTAAAGGCTGCTTAAAATTTACATAAGAGGCAGCCAGTGATATGAATGTTGAAATTAATATTCATCAGTTTGTGGTTGCATCATTTCAAACTGCAGCCAAAGATCTGAAACAGCTCCCTGTTTCAGCAGGACAGGCCAGCCTCTGCCAGCTCAGGGGAAGGAGGATCTTCAGCCCCAAGCTGTGGACAATAACTGATGGCCAAAGAGAGGGAGATGCTCAGAGCAGGTTTTGTGTGAGGTGTTAGCCTTGTACCTGAAGGCTGAAATTTGTTATTCACCAAACACAAATGATGGGGTAGCTTGAAACTTTTTTTTTTTTTTTTCCACGTCAACTTTTATCTTTTATCCAGGTTGTCCAGTGTGAGCATTGATAGCCTGCTCAGGCTGTCAGCAGGGTCAGAGGTGGTGCTTTAGA